TCTTGTGTATATATATATATATATATATAGTACATGGAATATCAGTGTGCTACAGTTTCTACTATTACCATCATTAACTTGTGGTTAACTTAGTGCTAAAGACCATCAACTTCTTCGTTGTCAGTGTATAAAAAAGTCATAGTGCTAGAACTTTATTGTCATCAGTAACTTATTGCAGTTACCTAAAATATTAAAAAAGTATGATCATTTTGTGTTTGTTTTGTATCATGAGTATTGTGTACACAGGATATTGTCCATCATTATAAGTAACTTGTCAGAGTTATTTAAAATGTTATTTTTAATAGACTGTGTCTTCTACTTTTAATTACCTGTTAAAGGGTAAAAAATGTGTTGTAAATATATATTTTGAAATAATTATCAACGTGAAAGGATAATTTGAGTATTTCTGCTGTTGATGGATATTTGAAGAAATCCTAACTTTTCAGTAGTTTTCTCTGAAAATTGTGTTTGTTTGTACGACGTTTTGATCACTGATGTGATCCTTATCTAGTACCTAATTAAATTTAATAAACAACCAAACAACCATCTCTTATATTTTTCAGTATCCTTCTCTTCAGATATTATTCAATTTCACCAAATTACTGACACACACACACATACATAGAAGTATAACAATGCCCTAACACGTGAATAGAACTTCTTTAGAACAACTGTGTACTGATAGATCATTATTTGAAATACAAGAAGTTTCGTTTTTAGCCTAAACGTTGTGTATGATCGCATAAGTGATTGAAACGTCATACAAATGAACAAAACTATCAGAAAAGCTGTGATGTTTCTAAATATTGTTAATGTGTGTTTTTCCTATTGAACTTGTAATCTTTGTTTTACATGATGTATTTTATGTTATCGTTGGTGTTAATCTTTTTTTAAAGAGTTGTGCATGTCTGTCTTGTGTATGTGTTTTGTTGTGTAAATGTTTTACAGGGACGAGAGCAATTCATCACATATGAATTATTGATTTGCACTTTTTATGTTGTGTGTGTGTGTGTGTGTGTGTGTGTGATTGGATGTAAAGGGAAGTAGAGATGTGGTACTTGAAATGTACCAAGTATTTCCTTTTATTTTAGACAGATGATAATTTCTAATTCGACAAAAAGTTTATAAATGTTTCTCGGGTACGAGCTTGTGGGCGCACATACGGGCATGGCAGGTATTTGGGAGGGACCAGTCAAATGAATATTCCAGAGAACATTCAAATAATTAGTTTCACAGGGTGTTCGAGAATAATGAAATCCTCCTTCGCCCCGCACGTGGGAAAGATAATGACAATATGATGAGAAAAAATAACTGAGTCTTTAGAGGCAAAATCGAAGACTAGGCGTGACTTAAGATTTCGGTGCACTTATAGGTTTTTTACATTAAGAGTTGATTACGCTAGTGCTCCAGTTTGTCATTGTAATAAGTCAATCTCTATTAGATGTTGAACTCTTTCGTGGAATATGGCAGGGGAGGACTCTAGCCTAATTAGCATCACTAGTGCTGTGCTGTGATCAACTGTGTATAGGTGTGACGCCACTTTAGGACTATGTTCTCCCTATTTTTATATGTGGAATTACCATGACCTGGATAGCGCATGCAGAACGCATGTAGAGATGACGCTATTGTGTTATTTATGTAGTTGTGAACGCTTTCTCAGACTCACTCAGATTTTTTTTTTCCGTTAGATAACAATGTGTGTGTGTGTTGTTTTTTCTCACAAAGACTGTAAAAAAACTGGATATAGTTCTTCATAACATTTTCTCTTGTTCTTAACCGTAAGAGAAACAGTATCAATAGTGATCAAAGTTTTTCATATGCTGTATTCATGGAAATATATTTTCCACTTAATCTAATAAGTAATGGATGATGCAGCCAGCTGTCATACATCAAAATTTTATAAGCTTTGTATGAACTAAGAATAATATTATATTTTTGAACATTTTATTTAGTTCTTTGTAAATCTTGAGCATTTCTGATCGCTCATAGTTTAAGTTGATGTTTCAAATATAATATTTTGAAATCCGAATAAAGTCGATCGATAAGATATTTTAAGTTTTTACAAAATCACATTATCAAAATAATTTATTCCATGATTATCGAAGTTATTGAAGTGTAGGTTGACAGATTACAATTGAGTATAACTAAATAATTATACATTTATAGCTTCGTTTATTGAATTTGTTATTCTAATTAGTGACATAATGTCATTCATTAGCCATGTATTTTGAATGTATTATTTCTACATCTTGATAATTTTTTTCGCCAGTTCTAATGTTTCATAGGTAATTTTCTCTTCCAATTATTTATCCTTTTTTATTGTCCTTTAACTCATTTATTTAATACTTTATTCGCTCTTTTTTTAGGCTTATGGCGCTAAAAACCTGGTTTCAGATAGCCCATTGTGTAGCTTTGTGCTTAACGAGCAAACAAACACCCTTATATCTTACTGTATTTACTTCTGCTGCTTCAAAAACCGTTACGCCTACAACGTTCCTTTTCCAAAATAGGAATCGTAGATACTAATTACGTTACTGAATATCACATAACTAACTTTTACGCCTGGTTCTCATTCCCAATTTATCCTTGAGGGAGGAAAGTCTAACTATCCGAAACGCTTGGGTTATTCGGTTTGTTTATTTGTGATTTGAGACTAAGTTTAAAACCAGAGCACGTCGCACAAGTGGTTTTTCTTTCTTTTTTTTTTTCAGATGCTATACTCAGATCGTCCTGCAACTTTAAAAAGAGACTAAATCAGACTTAACAACGTTAACTATTTGTAAATATTGCTGCCAAGAGAAAATGTGTAGCCATGGTAATCACCCAAACAATTGCATGAATAATTTAGTTTTCGACGCCTTCTAAAAGTAAATTTAAGAATACGTATTAACAAAATAATTACTGGTCCAAAGGTCTTTATCTCTTGGCCAACATACATGAAACAAAACAAAAAAGTCTTTGCGAGAACAAACATCAGAGAATGAAGTAACTAAATATATAAAACAGTGATAGTAACAGTTACATAAGTTTTTAACCAGTAATGATTTAAAACTAACATACTATGACAACTCAAAAACAAAATATCACACTCGTGTAATATTTGTATGATCTTTGACCACATAAACGACTAAAGCTCGATGTTACTCTAATGTGAGTGATTTGTTTAAAATTCATCGTGGGATGTTTTGAAATTAATCGGTACTCGTAGAATAATAAATATAAATAAAAATATATATAAAGAGCAGTCGACATAAACTGGTAATCACGATATAAGATTCCGTTGAGTTGTTTCAGGATTTAAGTTAAAATTTAAAAAGAAAATTCATATTTTAATTACTAAAATGTGTTGTATTCACGACCGATGTAAATTATAATTAGTTACCACTACAGAGTGTTATTGAACTGTCTTAAAAAGATACAAGCACCAGAGGTTTAGTGGGTTTGCTATCTTCTAGATATAAAAAGGGACCAAACGATAAAAAATTTCACCAAGTGATTAGCGAAGGCCGCCTAGAGGGGTCGCCTGTTTTAACCACTCACACCATTTTACAGTAGCGTGTTGTCTGTCAATCAGTAGACACTAAAATGACATCACATAAGGGATGCTTAATGTTGCAATTTGTGCTCTCGTGACGTCAGTAAAACATGAGTCAAATTCACCGGAGACACCCTTAATGTTAAGATAGTGTAACCACCGTTGAAATCTAGTTTTGTTATTTTGATGAGGTTAAAACTACCACTACTCGTATGTAACCACAAGTGTTGAATTCACACCTGCAGTAAATGACTATCTGCGAAAACCATTTAAGTAGAAGGATAGTTTTTTTACCTCGGTTACTATAACATACATATATTTCATTATCTAACAAAGTAAATTCTGACGTAGAAAGCATTACAATTAAATAAACTTGATATTTCTTTTTCAGTTTAA